TCCCACCTGGAATTCTCGAGAAATGCTGGGATTTTTCCTGACCACATGCTTGGAATGTCTTCTTTTCTTTTCTTTTGGAAAATTTATCAAATATCCTTTTATAGTAAAGCCATAAGATAGTCTCACTCCTATAGTAGAGGCCATACACTCCTTGCTGTGGGTAAGAATTATCTTGAATAGATCCTTCACAGTAGAATTCTCCTGGGGCAGGAGTGGCTAGCCTTGATTTTATCTTTTGTTTTGATTAATTGGTCCTCTCCTTGGAATGGGTGCTGTTTAACTTAACACAGTTTTTGTGGGCTTTATAATGGAGCCTGAAAACTCTCCTTTATACAGTATGCCAAAATGTCAGCATATCCACTTCAGAGATTACATTTGCCTTTCATCTGGGTTTCCAAATACATGCGTTCATGTGTCCATGTGAGGGATTGCTTCATTATAGGTCTAGAAAAAAGAGGATCTGAAAATTTGACATCTCTGGGCTGGCTGCTGGCCAAGTTCTTCATTTTCTCACCATGTTAATCTCATCAGTTGATTGGAATAGGGCAGATTAAAGTTTATATTTAAACACAAAGTCATCTGTAGCCCATGTGCTGAGTACAGAGAAGGTAGAAGTTTACTAGGATATGTCAAAAGTGCCAACAGGTAGAAATCATGAGTGCGTACAACCTAGTCATATCTCAAGGAAAATGTAAGCTACCAGCCATCATGTATTCTAAGTTAAACTCAACATAGGGTGACTAGATTTCCAAGAGTAAAAATCAGAAAATATTAATCTGTATATATTTATATGCTTATTACTGGTAATCCATCACATCAAATACTCTAGCAGGCACAATTAGGGCTGCAAATATCTAGGCTGTGACATCCACTAAATGGCAGCAAAGAGATAGAGAAAACATAAATTTTTGCCGCCATCTACTGATCATCCAGAGTACAGTATTCTGGAGTGGGCAGGCATATCAAATTGAATAAATTAAATTAATTCAGATGTTTGCAGCCCAGAGATGATAGCTGTAGGCTCAATAAGTGGTGAAATGGAAGTTGTTTCCATTAATCTGCTGATGGTCTTGCAGCTGAAACCTGCTGCTGCTGATCCTGCTGTTGTTGGATATATTCCTAGAAACTAATGTTTTCCTAATTTGAGAGTGGGAAGTTACCCCAAACCAGGATTGTCTTGGCAAAACTGGGATGTCTGATCATCTGATCTCAGCAGAAGTATTCTTCTGTTCTCTGTTGTATTTTGAGATTGATAAGGATAGAAGATAGTTGGAATTCCAATTGTTACTCCCAGTACTGAGAAAACAATGATGAATCCATTGATTAGAATGGAATAGAGACCAAAAGACAGTTCATGTGAGCAAAGGCATCCCCATATTGTAGCAAACTGCTAAAGGACTAGCTCTGCTGACAGGCTTGGGGAGATGGATGGAGTATGTATGCAATCCATGGGAAGGTCTCCTGCAAAAGTCCCATTTCAATGAATAAGAGTTTGTGTTAGAACATAAAAGAGTGCAGTTTCCATTCATCTCAAAGTTAGGAAAATGTCAGATGAATTATACCCCACATTTCATTTGGTGGGAGCCAGGCTTCATTTGAACTTGCTTTCTTCGGCACCAAAATGTCTCAGGTCCACCCTTTCCCAAGGATCTGTTTCTTTCTCAGCTTCTGATTTTCTGCTTGGATCGGAGCAGGTCCCTTTCCTGTCATGTTTCTGTAATCCAGAAGTGCTGATAGGATTGACTCTTCCAAGTCCCTCCCCACCCCATTTTAGCTTTTCTTTTCAATCCCATTAGAAGATTGCTGGAGGACTTGATTGCGTCCCTTTCTTGCCTTCTCATCTTGCCTATGCATACCCACCATGGAAGAGCTCCCTTCTGTCAGGAAGGGCCCTGATGCCTCAGGGATCCATGGTGATGCAAAACTGCTAACCCTGGTAAAACTCTGGGAGGCTGACCACAGACACTGCAGAGGCTTGGAGCCCATTGTGGGGGACTTTGACCTGGTAGGTCTGGCAATGCTTCCTTCTGCAGTATTTTTCTTTCTTTTGCTCTGCACTCCAGATTCCTTGGGACCAGGCTTCTGGTTTTGTTGCCCCTCCCTTTGCCTCACTGAGCCCACTTGATTCTGTTTATGTCTTTAGCTCATGATAAAACCAGGGATACAGGGACTTTGGCAGACCTGTTTATAGAAACTGGGTTCCATGCAGAATGAGTTCGTGCTTCTGGTGTTGGTACAAAAAAGTAGCACTTGAGTTTGTTTTGATCTTTAACAGGGCCCTTAAACAGACCCTACACACGCACAGCAAAAGGAGCTGATATTCTTTGTACAGTACCTTATACTCTATTCACTTTCTGATAAGCACTGAAGCAACTGGTTTCTTTATGTAAAATCTTGCAATTAACTGGGACAAATTCATTGGTTTGTTATAAGTATTTTTATTCCACCTTTCCTCGAAGGAGCTTATCATAGTAACATTTTATCCTCAAGATAGCCCTATGAACCTATTCTTGCCCCAAGTCATCTGTGAGCTACCTGATTGGGAATATATTTTAATCTGTTGTTTTTGGTGTTTGTGCTGGTATTAAATCAATTTACTATCCCAGCTGAACTGTGCAATTCTGTTCCCTATAGAATGTGCATTATCGGGATCTTTAAAATAAAAAGAGATGTTAAACTAATTTATTGTTTCACTGTTGAAGCTGCGTTTGGTGTTTTTGAAGGAACATTTTGGGTAGGAAGGCTATGTTTTGAATTTGCAGGGTTCATGGTAGGGGTTGTGCTATATTTACACAATCCAGTTTATAATCCCACAATGATTCAATCTCTAGTTTCTCCTTTTTGATTACTTCATTTCTCATCCTTAAGAAGAGCAGGTTAAAAAAAACAACTAAACTTGTAATGTTGAGAAAAGGAGGAAAAAAGTATGACAAAGGAAACCTCTAAAGATTAATGCCAAAACAGAGAGGACCAATGAGCGCAGACCAGGTGTAGATGTTTTGACTACTTCTTTCTAGTTTAGGTAAGGATGTACATTGATGCTTATGACTATTTTAATATGATAATCCATGCCATTTCTTATAGCTCTTTACAAAATAGTCTTGTGTATGTGTGCCAGCCTGATTTTCATCTTTGTTTCATTCAGTCATGTGAGTCCTTGAGCACAGTGCTTGAAGGCATTAACCTCCAGTTGCCTTTGAGCAGGATTCATAACAGGTCATCAGCTAATCAGGCAAAGCTTCATTTGTGATTTATACCCCCTGATTTAGCATGGGATGCAGACTGGGGTAACTCCATAATCAGAATTCTTTGGAAACAGGAGTGTAGGAAGGCCCAACGTCAGCATGCGTTAGGAAGGCATTGCATGTCAGTGCAAAAGAGGGGAAGCCAGAATGTGAGAAGATGAATACATTTCAAGTGACTTAATTTCGTTAAATAAGTTTAAGGAAATAAAGTGTTCTGTGAGCTTTCTTCACAAGGAAGGTGGGAACAGAGCTTTCTTTTTGAGCAGTTATGCAAACTACAGGTAGTCCTTTACTTACGACCACAACTGGGACTAGAACTTCTGTCGCTAAGCAATGCGGTCCTTAAGTGAGCCACACACGATTTTACAACCCTTTTCGCTGCAGTCGTTAAGCGAATCCAGCTTCCCCCATTGACTTTACTTGTTGGAAGCCCCCTGGGAAGGTTGCAAATGACAATCAAGTGACCCGAGGGTGCTGCAACCATTGTAAATACATGCCGGTTGCCAAGCACATGAATGTTGATCATGTGACCGCAGGGACACTGCGACAGTTGCAAGTGTGAGGACTGGTCGCAAGTTAACATTTTTCACTGCTGTCATAACTTCAGATGGTCATTAAATGAATGATTGTAAGTCAAGGACTATGTGTAGACATCCCCAGCATGTTCTGACCCTGGGTTCATCTAATTCCAGTTTTTAATATTTATCGGATTTGCCCATCCTTATAATCTGCTTGGATTTTGATGATAAATATAAAAACCAAAAACCAAAATGTTAATACAGTGTTTGAATTCAATATGGTGAAACTTGAAAATGAGTTCATTTAGAATATTTACCCATTTCTTTTGACTCTAGCATAGGATATTTCTTCCAATGGTATTTCTGAACCAAAGTGCTTGACCCTTATTTCTTTTCCTTGTTTTGATAGGTCCTTGACATTGGGGAATGCCTCACTGTTCCTGATGAGTTTTCTGAGAAAGAGAAGAAAACCGGGATGTGGTGGAAACAACTCATAGCTGGAGCTATGGCTGGTGCTGTTTCTAGGACTGGAACTGCCCCATTGGATCGACTGAAAGTTTTCATGCAGGCAAAGAGCTAACAAGGAATTGGGGTTGAGGAAGGGGAGAGGGGTTTTGCCTTGAAGTAGTACCTGGGAAGCAGCAGCTATTCCTGGGGAGGAGAGAAATGCAGAGGAAAGGGGGGCTTCTTGAAAAATAGAATGCCATCTTTGTAGGTGCAGTGTCTAGTGTTGTGCAAAATACACAGCATTTGTGTGCTGGATGACTTTTCTCACCTGCCTCATCATCAGTACAATTGGGCTTTCAGCAGCCTACCCTAAAAACCTGCCAATCAAAGCAGGGTTTTAATGGAGAAGAAATTCAGTGTTCTCCATTTTAATTGCATGCTAAATGATAGGTGGGAAGAAGAGTATAACTGCATAGGGGTTTGAGTGTGAGTGCACACATGTAGCACCCAAAGTACCATTCCCTCCTTCATGCCACCCTTCAAT